GGGACTAGTAGGACGCAGTGGACGAAGCTACAGACGGTACAAAAAACAGCACTTAGGACAGCGACCACCAGCGTCACCAGAACACCACCTCCACGATGAGGCGAAAATGCTCCCAATTAGGGAGCACAACACGATGTTCTGCAAGCAGTTTCTGGTTGGGAGCCACAGATGTGGCCACCCAAATAGACAGCTGCTTGCAGAGGAGCCCTCGCCGAGGCACGTCAGGAGGCATATATATGAACTGACGGACGAAGTCCAGAGGTTCATTAAGCAGCCTCTAGACCCGTCAGCTCACAGACAGGCCCTGAACGGCATTCACAGGGACGCAGTCTCGAGTTATGTAGATTCAAGAACTGTGAATGCCGTTCTAGGCACACAAACACCGGACATTGACGCGACGGAGCTCCATCTGCCTCGGGGGGCCAGAACAACAACAGCCCAACTTCGCTCTGGCTACTGCAGCGGGCTAAACTCCTACCTGAGTAGGCTAAACGCGGATGTGCCGAACGAATGTCCGGCATGCGGAGAGACCCCTCCCGACTCGAAACATCTCTTCTCATGCCCGGAAAACCCCACAACCCTAACGACGACGTCCCTGTGGACCGACCCCATAGAGGCTGCACGCTTCTTGGGGCTGCCGTTAGTGGAACTCGACGACAACGACTGAGATATCCGCCGATCTGGGCGGGGTTGTTGTAGCCGCTACAACAACAATAACTATCTAAATTTCGGAAATTTTCTTACGGTCGGTAGGTACTAAAAAAATTGTCGTACATATACTTTATATGGAAGAAACTGCGTGAAAAAATTGCCAAAACTCAACAAATGGGTTATAAAATTGCATCCTTAGAACTTTTCTAAAAAATCTGATTGGAAGGTTGCAAATTAGTATGCGAATTTTTTGAATTTCCCTGACTTTTGCACAAAGCTTAGGGATATTATTATTATGTTTTTTGTTGTAGTAGGTGCTATATTTTTATAAAAAATTTGCGAAAAGAAATTAGAATAAAAAACTTTGCATATATTACGAAAAATTCCGTGTCAAGACCTAGGCATAAAGCTTGATAGAACAAAAATGTCGACCATGCTCTATTTTTCCGCGCCTACTATTTTCACTTTATATTAGTCCTTATGGTAAAAGCTGCCTTACCCGACACAAATCGAACCGCGTAACTAAACCTTGGTCGAAGTTACAGACCTGTTACAGCGCCACACTGTGGACTGCCGTCCGTACAACGTCTACATAGTGAGGATATGAGTAGCGAAATGCTTTGCTATCTAAATCTCCAAAAGCCTTTCTGTAAATTTTCAAAAATATTCGATTCAATGCTCAAGTTGAACGTCCTTTTGTATAATTTATTTTTCTACTATCTTTCTGCTTATCAATCGGATATAAAGATCCGTCGTGTCAAGATCCTTGGTGACCTGCGCGCGAGGAGATATTTCTTTTTAAAATCTGACCTTTTAAAATGATTAATCAGCCCCTGTAGATCACTTTCTTGAAAAATTTACATTGCGAAAATTTTATTGAGTATACATAAGTCAGCTTATAGCATAGCAATTTTGACTAGTTTAACTCACCTTCTTGCTGAATTGGTCGAATGGTGTTGAGCAGGAACAAGCTGTCACGTTACGCATCGATTTCCAGTCAACAGCTACAGAATTTATTTCCTCTTTAATGCTCGTGGCATCAATGCGCTCGTTCAGCTTAAAAAAATAAAAGAAATTGCATAATTTATATACATGAGTATGTAATTGTTGTTGCTATAGTTACCGAAAGGTTTGCAAACGACATTTCTGCTGGCTTGAGCGGGTGATCATCATCGGCAGATGAGAGTTCACTCATCTTTTTGTCGTAATTGTACCTGGGAAATCGTAAAATTAACGAATTACATCACGGTTAGGTGTGCAATAGGTATTTCCACCAAAAGCTTAACTGCAGTTAACATGGAGTGATCGGCAAGGTATATTGCTTTCTTTTTGATTTTCTACTCTCGTTTGTTTGTACTCAATATGAGAAATTACCCCCTTCGAGTTGTAATCTCGTTTTTCCAATAGGCACAAACTGGAGTTAAGTCTTGGTGTAAATGCACTATAAATTAACAATTAATCGAATTTAAGCACTTGTTGTCATTGATCTCTGCTGTTGCAGGAGGCTCTTTGTAAGATTTAGCGGTTGCATCTTGCAATTTCTTAGCGGACTTGGAAATATAATTTTTGAAGCTTGCTATGCGCTGCAAGACATAAGAATTATCAAATTAGTAAAGCGCATTAATGATAGCGACTGCATACCATATTTCATTTTACCTTTGTTAAATGCTGACGTGATCCTCTAATGAAGTACAATGATCCTTACTCGCAAGCAGTAAGTCGCTAAGTGGTTCACGTGGATGTACGCCACTTTCGAAACGACTAAACATACCACGCCAAAATCTGCAATGAATTTCAATTACTTAAGCAAATTTGCTTGTGCTACCAGCTGTCGTTGCTTACTTAATGCATTGTGGAGCCAAATTGGCTTTGATTGTTTCATCAACATCAGGTTTATACAAAGGATTGATATATTCATTCAGGTGATTGGCCATGAAACCCCACAGGGAGAATGTGCGCTCTGAAAGCTTTAAATCCAGTCGATCCTTCTCACAGTTGCCGACAAAGGTGCCAAATTGACATGAATGCACGTGATCGTGCAGGATAAGCAGGAAACGTTCATTGAACTCAAAAGCATCACTGCGTTGAGTCATCAACTGCCAAGTGCAATCTAGGAATTGTGTGAAAATTGGTGAGACTTCACGCAGATCAGTTTGTACGTGTCCACAGCGTTCACTGAATTTATGTCCAAATGCCAGCCAGTCTTTTTCAATAAAGCCTATATGAGAGATGTAAGAATTTAGTATATTTTGCGTATATAGTTACCTTAATATATGTACATAGAAAGGCCCTATCTCACATCCTCCCGAATTACGAACTTACTAAAAATCAAAAATTCACCTTGATTACATGTGCAACAATTTTAGGGTCATGGAATCTAATGCGGAAGCGAACTTTGCAAAACCTTTTGGGTTTCGCTATTCTAGATCAGTACTATCGACCTGTGTTGGTTGTTTTTACGTTAGAAAAAATGCGTTGCACAGTGTGATGCATTTCATGAATTAAAGTCCCCACACCATTTTATGCAATAAAAAATTGTAGTTCGTTAAGTTTTTTTTTTGCATTTCAGAGACGATGTGAGAAGGGCCTTTTCATATTAAGTTAACGCTACGTAGTGCAATACAAAATTTATCATTTACCTGAAATCCTTTGATCGTTCTGTAGTAGGGATCCAACATTAAAGCAGCCAATGAGCAAACTTGTGCTGTCCGATCCCAACCATCCGAGCAGTGCACCACTACCGAGACACCTTTGTCAACAGCGCTTGCAATAAAGCTAGATATAGTAAAATACGAAAGAGGAAAGGGAGTATTTAAGTTTATTGATTCATCAAAGAAATGTGATTGAACGACAACTTAGCATACAAATACTGTAATAGTTGTCATCAGGACAAAACTCTTTCGTAAGACAATTGTCAATTCAGGCAACTTTATAGGAAGCTCCGTCGAAAGACTATTGAGAGATGTGCTAATGAGAAGGTCTTAGCGTTATGCTTTAGTTTTTCTTTGTAAAACAATAAAAACTAATAAATAAAAGAAAAGTAAATTAAAAAAATCAAAATTAAATAAAATGAAAATAATATCGACTTGGAAAACCGGACTGCGGAATTGACAGAAACAGAAGAAAAGGGCTATATAAAATTTCCACTTGATTTAACGCATTGAAACAAATAATGTTTAACTACCATCGAACAAATTTGGTCTTTGTCACTAGTTCCATTATTTTGAAGAAGCAAATTCCCCATTTTTAAAACTCTATAATCATATACATAATTACCTTGAAGTATCCAAAATGGAACGAATATTTTTAACCAGCCTGATGACTCCAACGCATTAGGAAGCCACTCATTGTAGGTGTCTTTTGTTCGCAAGCTTCAATTAATTTTTGCAAACTGGTACGCTGCACGTGTATATTTTCAATACCCAGAAAATGGAATTTGATGTTCTCATAAAAAGCTTCATTCTCGTAGCCTTTACCTGCGGCGCGATTGGCCATGGCATTAATCTATTCGAGGGAAATGTAATTAAATGTAATTTTTTTTTTCAAAAATAAATATTAGGAAATAGTACATATCGTTCCGTTTCTGCTTAACCTCGTATCTGCAATAGAGGTATTTTAGAGAGTGTAAGAAAAAATGCTAAATTTCTTCCCCTAGGATAAATAAACGCATTTTTTACTTAATATTCTGGTTCCACTAACAGTAGTGAGAACCCTCATTAAGTCTTTGTTCTATTTTCAAAAAGGGCGACGCTTAAACAGCTGTTAAAAGTGGTAATATTAGGTATCAAGAGAACGGGACGATATATAACTGTAGTCCATGAGTATTGTGATATTTCGGGAATTTGAATTCTAATTCAAAAATGTTTCCCCTCGCCTGCAAGAAAAGCGACTGAAAGGTAGTCTAGGTAGAAAAAAAAAATAAAAATCATACGGAAGTCTCATAACACGCGTTTATTGTAAAACAGAGGTTATGTAAAAATTGAAAATTCTTTTCCTAAAAAGAAAAATACAACATATTTTTAACTCCTTGTGTGAAATTATCATTCTATTAGGCTTTTCATACAATGCGATTATTTGTAAACCCGACCTCTCTACTTTAACTATTTTCTCAAATAAAACAAAGATTAAAATAAAATAATATGTATGTACATTTGCTGCCTATTTGTCGACACATAAAAGTTTTAAGTGGGTGCATATTCCGCAGGGCACACTTGCAACACAACCATTGCTGTGGTATGCCCAGAGATGCCGCATGTCTGCACTTGTGCATTGCTTGTTGAAATAAGTTGAGCAAATTTAACACATTCATACATAAGTGCATAGACAAATATGCATTTACATTAGACGGGATCACATTAAAAGCTAACAAAAAAGTTCGTCCTTTCATTTACTGACACACAGTAAAACACACAGGCAAAGCTTTTGCCTACCAACTGTCATGTTTATTAACTGATATAAATTTCATCAGAGGCAATATTTGCGCGTGGACATTTTTTATCTTGATAAAGGCATTTGTAAGGCGGGCTATTTTTGTCGGATTTAATCACTTAAAAAACTTAGAACGTTTTTTATTTCAAATCTAAGTACATAATAACAAATATTTTAATAGATAACATCCAATTTTTTATTTTTATATTAAAATATCAATAATGTTGCCGCCACGAAGTCATCGCGCAAATGAAAATGTAGCTGTCAAAGTACCAAATTGCTGGCAATATTTGTCAAGATAAAAGCTCTGATAAATTCTGCTGGCCAATAGCAATATGCGGTCTCCATTGGCAAAATATTGCCGATAACATTATCAAGACAAAAACATTTGCTTGTGGAGATAGCAACTTAGGACGGCACATTAGTTACCCTAGTACTGAGATCTGGAGGGTAAGTACTACGACGCGGTACTTGAGGTTAATGAACTTTGGGAGAAAACAAAATTATCTCCTAGAGACCAAAACTGCAATATATAATACCTGAAGATACGACTGCAAATGACGAAAAATTGAAAATGCAACCACTACGTTCGGCCAAAAAAAAGTTTTTCTTTCGACATTTCCACACAAAAATACTTCAGACATCGGCGAACATTTTTTTTCGGTACGCTCTAATGAACATACATACATATGTATATATGCACGTATGTATGTATATATGTATCTATTTCACTTACCCTCGGTCGAGTGTCCACAACGTACATATAGTCGGTGTTGGGGTTTGTTTTGCGTATCGCCTCCAGCATCTGCTCATCTTCCAAACAGCGTGCACTGAAGCCCGACAATGGCTGACTACAGCGACAGATTGAAGCCTGCATGCAAAAAATTAAGAAATGGGAGAAAAGAGAAATAAAAAATTTAAGCAAGTTCCGCATATGAATATTTACTTAAGTTTCCTGAATTGAAATGTACACACACATGCATACATTTACAGTGTATTTATGCACCGGATCTGTTTTTCCTTTTTACAAGGCTATATAAATGAGATTTTTCAGCATTTCATAAATTTGTTATTAGCGAAGTTTATGATAGTGTAAATAGCAGTTAAGCGCACTTACACTTACATACATAGTACGTATATATGTACATACATAACATGTATGTCCTGAAAGGGTAGAGCAAATCGTTAACGAGCTTTCCCCCTGGAAGCCAACTTTTACAAGAGAAAACTTTCCAAAAAGAATGTGTGTTTTTTCCTGATTGCTTTAGAGACCGAAAATCTTCAGGCCCGGATTCCATTCCTAACAGAGTGCTTAAACTTATTTCGTAGGCGAGTCCAGAAGTATTTGTTCGCACGTTTAATGAGTGCTTCGCGGAAGGTGTGTTCCCTGATATTTGGAAGCAGCAGTGTTAAGTCATCCAACCCAAGGCTTTAAAACCACCAGGAGATTCTTTAGCATAAAGCCCTATATATGTATGCTTGACACGACGGGAAAATTTCTAAAGTATATGATAAATAACATTTTCGGAAAGGGTAGATCAACTGCAGGAGCGGCCATGTTAGTTAAGCAGCTGGCGGAAGAAGTGGCCAGCGGGAAGCGATCGAAAGACGGATCGAAGAAGTAATGCTTGCTGGTTACTCTGTATGTGAAGAGTGCATTTAGTACTGCAAGTTGGCAACAGATACTCCACGCCCTTCCGAAGTTTAAAGTTCCAACATACTTACGGACGTTTATTAGCAACTATCCCTTAGACCGGACACTCTTCTATAGAACAGACGACGGAGTAAAAAAAATATAATCAGCCTCTTTGCGAATCGTATCGAATATTTCACGTCATTGCCCAAAATTTCCAATTGACTAGTGTATTAAAACGGAAAAGCTAGGCAGAACTGCATAGTTATCGACGATTTTCGTCGTTTACTTATTCCTGTCGAGTCGTACAATTTAGCCTAATTTACGACTTACGCAAAGAGCCTGAATATTTCTGGTGGCGAGCCACAAGGATTCGTCCTCGGGACAACGCTTTGGAATGCAAACTCAACTGACGGACGCTGTACATATTGATTTATTTCGAGTGAAAGCAAATGGCTTGACAGAAGACAAGGAGAGGTTGATTTCTACCTGACTCAAATAAATACTAACCGGACATGGCTGCTTTAAAGCGTAAAGCGTACTTACTCATCTTTACTCATGAAGATGACCCATCTTGCGCTTTTTGTACAGGGCCGGCAGTCGAAGAAGGTGGGCAGGCCACTTAAGTTTGATAATCTTGTGGATATCAAGCTTGAGTCAACAGAAAATTGGTCCGCTGTTTGTCATATGGCAAGCACTATACTAAGAAAATTGCGTCAAGCAGAACAACAGTGTATAAAAAAGAAGTAATTTTTAAGCAATAAAAACCCGACTTCGATGCTCATATAAACATTTAGGAATGCCATTAGTTTCTTCATAATCCAATGATCGAATCGACAAAAATCAGTATGGGGCCACGCTTAAGGTACCACATTTCCGATAAAGAAAAAAGAATTATCAAAAACGATTCACGTGGGCCAAAGTTATCCGGTAACATACTCGTGTATAAAACAAAAATATTCCGATTAATTGATAACCTCCTACTTCTTACTAAATTAGATACCAAACGCAGTAAATATGGGATAACTAGTGAACCCGCATGGCGCCAAAACGCCAACATTTAATTAAATTTTTTAAACAGGTGAAACCCTATTCAAAAACCTTTAAAAATATTCCTAATGAGGTATGGGATAATAGCTATAAAAAAATGTTTCGAATTAGTGAAAAATCTCAAAAAGGGAAATTTGTGCAACATGGCGTATGAGTGTCTTATTCATGTTAAAAAATTGTTAATACACAAACAAATGTATTTTATGTAAAAAACTGGTCCCATATCCAGTGGCCACAGGAACTCAGTATTTGGGGTCATATAACCATTCAATAACTTTTCAAAAATTTTTGGCTACGACGTTTTGAGTTTTGTAAGTTTAATAATAATAATAATAATAAGCTCTTAATATTTAGTTTTTAGAGGATTTAACGACTTTATGACTAACCTCCCGCCAGATGTATTCGATTTTAAATTTTAAGAATTTGCATCCCGATTCTTAATCAGCGACCTCACAAATTTCTCTCTAAGAGCGATTGATATTGTCGCATTTCAAACCCGTTGTTCACAGCCGAAATACTTCAATAGGATGGCGGGGCAACTGATACGGGTACCGTGGCTAAATAATATAC